TGGCTTGGGTCAAGTTTCTAGGATGGGAGGTGTTAAGGATGTTTCAACAGGCAGTCCAGGCCAAGGACCCTGTGATTGGTTGTGGCTCCTTCAACACTTTCTGTTTTACTGTTGTCTGATTTGGGGCCCAGAGATCTTTTAAGTGTCTGTTCACATGCTTAACTTGGCAGAGATTTTTAAGAGTTGGTATTTGAACAGTAGAATTGTTGTTTCTTCAGAGACCACACATCTGGGTTTTGGGTGTTTGCAACATTTTTTTTCCCCCTAAGTCAATTTTCTTCCCATTTTTTTTAGCAGTTGAAGTCTACACCCTACTCTCTGAAGAACTTGCTTTCACTTTAAGACTCTAATGATCCCTAGGTCCCCGATCCAGTGAGCCCTTCTGTGGTGGGATGTTTCTAAGATGAACTTAAATGATCCTTGCCTCCTTGTTAGTCATTCCTGGTATAATTTTGCCTCCTTGTTAGTCATTCCTGGTATAATTCCTCTGCCTTGACTGTGACGGGACCTGTGACTTGCATCTGGCCTATAGAATATGGCAAGGTCATTTCAGTGATTAGATTACATAAACTTGTGACATGTGTCTTATGAGCAGACTCTCTCTGTTGCCAGTTTGCTTTACACACTTGGATGAAGCCAGCTGCCGTGTTGGAGAGGTGTATGTGGCAAGGAACCAAGAGTGGCCTCTGGCCAATGGTCATTTATGAACAAAGACCCTCCATCCAACAGCCTTCAAGGAACTACGTTCTGTCAACATGTGAGCAATTGAACCAAAAGTAGTTAGACCCTTCCTGCAATTCCCTAGTTAGGTTTTGGGAAGAAATATGGCAATAGATAAACTCTCCTTATCATGGTAAAGGGGTCCGTCCCAGCTGGTTCTGTGCTGACTGGAACTGGTTGAGGACAATGGTAGGCACTTGAACAAGGTCTGAGTCTGCCCTTTTGGTTGGGATTATGTCCTTGCCATAAGGAAGATGTTCTGAGACCCAACCCTTCTCATTCAACTCTTTCAAAATGGAAATGATGTGGATTCCTGTAGCTGCTCTGTGGTCAAGGATTGTCTATTAACACTGCATTTGCTGGAAGGAACACTGTCTGGAGGGGAGTATTTGGGGACATGAAGAGACTACCTGCTATGACTTCAAGTCACAACTGTGTTCTGGTAGCGCTCACATCTGTATCTAGAGCCCAGATTCCATTCCTGAGATCTAAATTTGTGTATTAACTGTGAAAAGGACATTTCTACTTGGATGTCCTGTTATTGTTGTTATGTGCCATTGAGTCAGCTCTGACTCATAGTGACCCTGTGTACAATAGAATGAAACACTGCCCAATCATGCACCATCCTCACAATCCTTGCTATTTGTTCTGGTTACCTAGTACTGCTCTGACAAGAAATATACCACAAATGCGATGGCCTTAACAAACAGGGGTTTATTCTTAAAATTTGGAGGCTTTAAGTCCAAGTTCAAACTGCCAGGCTTTAGGGGCTGGGTGAAACCCCTCAGCCTTGGGCTTCAGCTCTGCCTCTTACTCCTGGTCCACTGAAGCTGGAGGCTTTTCTTCACTCAGATAGCTGCTGGCTGCTGAGGCTGACAAGCCTAAGGTTGACAAGTAAAAAGGCACAGTCCCAAACACAGATGTTACCAAACTACATGGCAGGCCATAAATTCAAGTCCACTGTAAGTCCTAAGGTTGACAGAGCATGGCAGGCTACTGAATAATGACACGGCTACATGCAGGGTCCAAGTGTGCCATAAGCTAGAGACCATTCCCAAAGCTGCTTCTTATATACAGGAAGCAGACCACATACCCAAAGCAGCCACTCAGCTGCTTGTGGTAGATTCCACCATGGAGATGATTGCCAGTCTCATCATGGAGAATAACTACCACCAGCTGCCCAGCCACTCAACCAGGCCCGGCCAAGTTGACACACAAACATAACCAACACAGTATTCTTGAGGCCATTGTAGCAGCTACTGTGTACAATGTTTTGGGGCTATTCATAAAGTTTTCCAGTAATATATCAGGGAGTGTTTCATTGCTATTCATGAGGTTTTCACTGGCCAATTTTTTCAGAAGAGGATGGTCCCGTCCTTTTCTCCAGTCTATCTTTGTTTGGACGTTCTACTGAAACCTGTCCACCATGAATGACCCTGCTGGTATTTGAAATACCAGTGGCATACCCTCCAGCCTCACAGCAACATGCAAGCCACTACAGTACGACAGACTGACAGACGAATGGTGGTGGATGTCCTGTAGGCCCTTTCAATTTAGGCCCTCAAACAGAACCAACTTTTAGTCATGAATTCTCTTTGGTCAAACTACAGTTGAGACAGAGGAGGGTTAGATATTCTGAGGTGCATCACTCAGATTTTTTTTTTTTTAAATTTTAAACAGTGAGGTGGACATTTAATTAAAAAACAGTTGCTGTGGAGTCGATTCCAACTCATCGCAACCTTGTGTATGTCAGAGTAGAATTGTGATCCATAGGGTTTTCAATGGCTAATTTTTTGGATGTACATTACCAGGCCTTTCTTCCAAGGTACTTCTGAGTAGATTCGGACCTCCAATCTTTCCATTAGCAGCAGAGCACTGTAACTGTTTGCACAGATAATGCAGCAATTGTGGGACTCCACAGTTTATTCGTTTGTTGTTAGAATGATATTGTACTTTTTCTTTTCTTTTTTTTAATTGAGACAGTTTTAGTCCTGCCTGTGGGTATTCACTAGAGCTTGGCCAAAGGAGGTTTCCCTTCATTCAGGCTTCTGAGGGGATGCTAAGCCTCCCTATGGTCTGGATGACCATTGAGAGCGAGGCAACCAGAAGAGAACACCCAAGGAGTGATTCTTAGGTTTGTATTCCTGTCATTACTGCATCACACTTACCAAAGGCTGGGTCAGAAAGACTATAGTGATGGACAATTGCCTGAGGGTAAACGGTCCATACAAGGCTATAGAGCAGCTTTTAAACTTTTAAGAGTCACAAACTACTCCACACAAAACTACTCCCCTACCCACTCTAGTAGGAGCTCTGGTGGCTTAGTGCCTAAGGCATTTGGCTGCTAACCAGAAGGCTGGTGGGTTTGAACCTCAGAAGGAAGATTGGGCAATCTACTTCCATAGTGACACTGCCTTGGAAATCCAAGGATGGGTTGCTATGAGTCTAATCTGACTCGATGGTAGTGAGTTTGGTTTGTTTTTTACCCTTTCTAGTGGACCCGCCAGCCACTCCTCGGAAGGAAGATGGGACAATCTATTTCCACAGTGATACTGCCTCGGAAACCCAAGGAGGGGTCTCTATGAGTTGGGTCAGACTTGACAGCACATAACAACAACAACAGTGGACCATGTGAACCTCAGCCTACATGACTGTGAGACCAGAAGAACTAGATGGTGTCTGCCTACCACTGTTAACCACTTGGGAAGGGATCAGTGTAGGAGATCCTGGATAGAGTGGGAGAAAAATGGGGAACAGAACTCGAAATTGTAAAAAGGACCAGGCTTACTTGACTGATTGACTGGTGAAACCCCTGAGACTATGGCCCCTAGTTGCCCTGTAGACCTAGAATTGAACTCACTCCTGTTTTTTGGCTTCCAACCAAAAATAGACAGGTGTATAAGTGGCTAAGACACTTGCCTGCTAACCAGACGGCTGGCGGTTCAAACCCACCAGCCACTCCTCGGAAGGAAGGTTGGGCAATCCTACTTCCGTAGTGATACTGCCTCGGAAACCCAAGGAGGGGTCGCTATGAGTCAGGGCTGACTCGACGGCACATAACAACAATAAGGTGAACATTTATACCAGTTAGGTACACTCCTTAGAACAATCAACCAGGGGAGATTAGAAGGGCAGTATTTGCACAGGGACATAGCTCAGAGGGCAGGAATGCATAGACAAGAAGGACACAAGGCAAAGGTAACCACAGGGAGGAAGTTGGAAGAGAGCTGTTAGATTATGGGGATTGCAATCAAAGTCATGAAACAAAATGTGTATGAACTGCTGTACGAAAAACAAATTTGCTCTGTAAACTTTCACCCAAACACCATAAAAAACAAACACCCTAAAATGAAATAAAACTACTTCCCTACCCCCTTTTTAAAATCAGGAAATTAAGCAACTCCTGTATTTATAACAAATAAAAGTGGATAACGGGGGGGGGGAGGGGTAGTCCATGAGGGTTAGAGTCTTGCCCTCCCACACCCTTGCTTTGTGAAGAGGCCCTAGTAGGGCTGATTTTCTGAATTCTACTTTGAAATCCTAGATGAGAAACAGCTTGTACGGCAGGTTATTTCTAAGGACACTGTTTTCTTCTCTTACCACAGCCTTTTTTAGGAAGATCCATAGAAGGAACTTCTCATAGGTTTCATTTCCAGGAGCATTTACCATCCCCCGCCACCCGTCCCAGAATCCTTTGCTTCTACCCTGCTTATTTTTTATTTTATGGAGGCCGTGACTTAGGCCCCTTTTGCATCAGCTTCTAGGAAGCACAGAGCTGATTCTGTAGACCATCTTTGGCCATTTCTCAGGACTTCCTTGTACCCACTTCATGGACAGGAGAAGTGAAGTCAGGACTCCAAGAAGATAAAGTTTCTACTTTATTTTCTGTCATCCCTATTTCTGCTTTATTTTTATTTAAACTTCTATCTTAGGCATTTTTGTAAGTTATGATAAATCCTTCCTGGAGCAAAATGAGATACAAATTAATATATGACTATATTAAAAAAAAAAGAAAGAAACAGAACAATTGTCATGGAGTCAATGCCAACCCCATGTGTGTCAGAGTAGAACTGTGTTCCATGGGGCTCTCAGTGACTGATTTTTCAGAAGTAGGTCACCAGGCCTTTCTTCCAAGGTGCCTATGAATGTACTGGGACTGCCAAACTTATGGTCAGTGGCACATTAACCATTTGCACCACCCAGGGATGCCCTCAAATATATAAATACATTTTAAAATAAATAGGCATAGCCTTCAGCAACCGTCCTGTGCCCGTGTTTACCTCATTGGGGTGGAATCCATCGACAGGTTCAATAAGTTGCCAGGGCTGCCCACCTCTCCTCTGCCACTCCTCTGTGACTGTAGGACACAACCAGAGGGTTAGAGACATGCTTCCACAAAGAACCACCAATGTCCAAGAACAAGGATCTTGACAAATGCTGTAGGAGCTGCCCACTGCCCTCCTGGCCTGGTTCATTGCTTACTATTGCCACCTCTGAGCTGTTAACTCAGGCTGGGGCTTTCTGAATAGAAATGATCTTCCCATTAATTTCCAATCAGAAAGACAGTGTGTGAGAGTGTTGGATGGTGGAAGTATGTGTCACAGGGAGAATGGTGAGGAGAGATGAGCTCTAAAATATTCAACACCCATTTAACTCCATCTCATTTTTCAGTGGGGTGGTAGGACAGCATTAGAGGAGCAGGAGGGGACAACTAAACATTTTGTTAACATTTCCTTTCATGAGCTGCCATTTCCAGACACTGCCTGTGTATGTCAAAAGAAATCACTTTTAAAAATCATACAGTACAACAGCAATATTATTCAATTACACAAAATTATCTGAATGTCAGATTTAGAGGGGGTACGGCTACAGAGAAAATATTATGAGCCCCAAAGTGATGAAAAGCAATAAAACCGTCTTTTAACATAGGTAAGAGACCAAGAATGTCAGTTGCTCCAAGGCAACAGCACAATTAACTCTGCATTGTAATATAATATAGTCCATAAGAACTCCACAAGGAAATTCCAAATCCCCAGGGAGCCTACAGAGAGAAAAAAATTCTGAGGCTGCTCCTTCTGGATGGCCCAAGCTCTCACTTCCCTATGTGAAGTGAGGGAACAGGCACAGCTAAGAATCCTCCAGCTTTTTTCTCTTCACCCCACACAAAAACTGAGGGCAGAGACCTGTGCCTTTTTTCTTTCTATCCCTCTCATTCCAATGGAAGGGATGGAGATTCTTTTGAGGACTTTGATTGGGCAAGAGAAGCTGGACTTCCCAGGGATGAATCAATATTACAATGTTTTGAAATTATTCCTAATTTCATAGCATGTCACCTCCACTTACTGTCTACTCCCTGTCCTACCTGCCTGCCTTGGTCAGAGCTCAGGAAAAAATTCATGGTGGTGGTTTGGAGTCCTGCACAGTGAATCTCCAATCTTGGGTAGCTTATTCCCTGGCAGAACAGCCACCACGGAGCCACACTCTCATATTTTGCTTCTGGGTTTTATAAGAGTTTGTCAGTAACTTCAACCGTTGAAATTTTATATAGCCTTGCTATATAAAACAATAGAGTGGTTATGAAAAGTTACAGCTACAAGGTTATCAGGCTATAGTTAATCTATTCATAGTGGAAGATATCAGTTCCTCACATGATTATTATGTCTGCATGGGTTACTGCATATCTATAGATGTCAATATTATAAAACCTAAAGACAGGATCATTAATTCACAAGCAAGAGTTCACGGTTTTATGTGTAGAGTGACTATTTTCTGTTTATTTATCTCAGGGTGAAGTTTTGTTTTCTCAGGATAAACACAGTACCAGACAGTGGCTTCTCTTTCCCCTGATGGAGTTTAGAGTGGGAGGTCCGATCAAGGGTAAGATGATTGTCTCCTTCCCACTTAGAATTGTAATTTGAAATAGGCAAATGAGTGCCTGTTTGTTCTTCAGAAGAATGAATTTAAGCTCCTTAAATAATCATGAACAACCATTTGATATTTGGTGTGTAACTTAATTTCTTCATCTGTAAAGTCAATGAAATTCTGCTAATAACCAGCTTTCCAGAGATGAAAGAGAAGCCATAGAAGATGACTTAGAAGCTCTTTGATGAACAGCAATGCTAGTAGTTATTTAAAAAGAAAAAAAAAAAAATTGCTCCCTGGTCAGCCCTGTGAAGTTATTGGCTATTTTTACAAACATACATGATGGAAGTAGGACCAGGTTTAGTCCAACTGAGTTGTCTTGGAAGCTGGGGGCAGATGGTGGCATATTTAAACTGTCAGTGTAAAAATGGCCCTGTCGGCCAAATGGCAATTTCCTTCCTTTGCCTGGGAGATATGGTGCAGGGGAAGAAAAAGGACATCACCTGTTCAAGTTGGCATTTCCTGACGGGAGGAAAAATTGCTACCTCTGTTTAGTTCATAACCAGTTGGAGAATGAGTCAGCAAGAGACAAAAGAGTCTTTGGAAATGAGCTATCATAGCTCAGTGCTGGACTGAGGCTGTCAGAGCTGAAACCGCATAGGTTTAGTGCCTACCCTCAAGTGACAGGGAAGTTCAACTGCGATTTGCTCTGTCACAAGGATGTGAGATTGTAAATTTTAGTATCATAAAAATGAAGATATTTGTGATGCAATAGTCAGTTCATATACAGTACAGAAATGAGAGGAGAGATTTTCCTGTGACTAATGAGACTGCTGATGGCCCAGGACCAGGCAGTGTTTTGTTCTGCTATGCATAAGGTCACCATGAGTTGGAGCTGAGTTGAGAGCAAATAACAGCAACAACTGCAGATTTAATAAGTGACTTGGCAGAGTTTTTATTTCTGGTAAAATGGAGACAGTTGTGATAATGAGACACACTTCTACCATATTTCCTCAAAGGAACTCAAAGTGATGCATAAGCATAATTGGGGATGGGATGGGTGTTGGACATTGAAAGAAAATAAGCATCTATTATAGACCTTGGAAGGATGTAAGAAGTGTTTTACATACATTGATAATGGTAGTGGTAGGAGGATGCAGCTAATACTTACTGAGTCCTTCTGTGTGCCCGACACTTCTAGTACTTTGTAAGCTTTGTTTCACTTAGTCCTTACATAACCTCTATGGTTAGTTATTTCTACCTAGCATAAAAGGTAACAAAGGCTGAGTAGTTATTTAATTTCCTCAAAGTTTCATAACAATTCTGTGTCTGAGTTGTCAGAGGAACAGTTCTATCTGATTGTCAATTCTAGGCTCTTTCAATAATAGCATAGTACACCCACCATGAGGTAGACCAGATATCTAGGATGGTGAACCTGTTGTTTACTCAGAAAGATAAATCCCTTTGTCTACTCTGGAAAATGCAAACATTTCAAGTTAAAAATTCCCTTTTAGTCTGGACCTAAGTCAAAACCTTACTAGACTTTATAGGTAAGAATGAAAATGCTAGGTCTTTCAGAAAAGGATGTTGTGGCACCTAGAATTTAAATGTATGATGCTGTGCTGGAAGTTCATATTAGATCCCACAGCACCATTTTTCGTTTCACCTTTCTTCACTATGTTTGAGTGTCTTTTCCAACGGAGTGCCCACGAACTGCATATGGAGAAGATGATGAAGACCCTGTAAGAAAGCTGGACCTTCACATTTATTTTTAATATATGTTGGGAAATTATAAAATTTCAGGACATCCCTTGAACTGTTGACAAGAATTGCAAAGCAAGAATTACTATACCTCAGTAAAGTCACTGACTGCCATGTTGATGTAGGGTGTTCAATTCAGTTTAGCTGAACTTCATGCTTTTTAATAGAGTTGATTGTTGTTGTGAGGACAAGAAAGGGCTGATGAGCCTCAGCTTTTAAGCGTGTTAGGTTACAGGGCAATGCTGGCCCATATTGGGTGAAAGGCAGAGCTCTTTTTCTCTATCCTCTATCCATCTGTTTTGTTGATTCAGCAGATCCCTAGGTAGCACAAACAGTTTGTCTTCAACTACTAACCTAACTAGTGGTACCACAGAAAAAAGGCCTGGTGATCTGCTTCCATAAAGATTACAGCCAAGAAAACCCCATGGAGCAGTTCTACTCTATAACACATGAATTTGCCATGAGTCTGAATCGACTTAATGACAATGGGTTTATAGTCTCAGCACCTACACAGCTGTTGACACACAGTAGGACTCAGTAAAAATCTGATGACTGAATGACTGACCAAGCTCTTGATTCTGGAGCAACATAGTCTTTTTCTTAAACTTTAATAGGATTGTTTAAAATTCAGGTTTGGATTAAGTAGGTCTGAGTGAGGCCTGGGATTCTGCATTTCTACTTAGCTGCCAGGTGATGCTGATGCTGATGGTCCCAGACTACACATTGAGTAGTAAGGGTGGAAGGGATAGGTGCTCTTTACTGGGTTCTTGCTTGTACCAGGCATAGCATTTAGGAGGATCTCACATTGTTTCATGAATTATGCAAAGATTTGTTAGGTAGATGGGGTATCACTACACAAGTCTGCAAAGGAGACTTAAATATATTCAGGGAATTGTCTACAGTCCCAAAGATAATAAGTGACAGAGCTAGAGATCACTTTGGAAAACAAAAAGGTCCATGTGAATGTTAGACATTATTATAATTTTAATAACTTTGTCTATATTCAAGGCTGGTCATGATCAAAGATCACATGGTGGTACATTTGTTTATACCAGGACTTCATTAATGAGTTTTTAACTCTGCATTTTAATAAGAGGTTATTTATCAAAATGTCTCTCCCTGTGAGAGAAATGTGCATCACCTAGGCAGGAAATCTAGTTAAGGGAGCTCAATCTTATTGAAAAGATGCTCAGAATTGAAGTACTAGTGTATACAATGCAAAGTATGTCAGCTAATGTAATATTTGATAATTCATGATGGCCATCTGCTCCATCCCAGATGCTTGGGTGGGGGTTGTTGGTGGTGTGGTGATGGGGAGAAAGAGTTGATAAACTCAGGATGAGAAACCTTCCATTTTGGTGCATACATTATAAAGCTTTTCATTAGAGTCGTCTTGGCTGGCAGTCAATCAGCAAGGGCCTTTTCTCTTATATTAAAGTGCTCAGCAATGAAAACGAGTCTGGAATGATTAAAGGCCATAAATAATGCTTTCTTGGAAAGATATAAAGGATAAATCAGTAGCTCCAGTGAACAAGCCTAATTTTGAGTTGTCACATATCAGTGATCCCAGCATTGGGATCAGTGACCCCCGTGTTGGGATCACTGACCTCAGCATTGGAACAGAATGCTAGAAAGGAAGCTTAGTAATATTCTTTCCAGAATACTAGGATATGGATTAATTCATCTTGCCAAAGATAGATTCCCGGCTTTTCCCTCAGAGATTTTAATTAGGTTCCTCTTGTATGCGGTCTGGGAATCTGCATTATTCCTGAGTGCCCTGGGTAATTCAATGCCCACTTTGAGAGGTGTTGTCTTATCCCTCCTTCCTGTCACCCCCACTTTCAGTTCATAAGGTAAACAGGGCATTTGCTAAAGTGACAAGAAGGCTAGGTGATTCCATTAGCCTGTTGGCACCCAACTGAAAGTTCTTTCCTACTGGTTGCTGGCTCAATTGCTTCAGGGATTCTAAAATGATGACAGTAAGGAAGGATTGCTGAGCCTCCACCACCTCAGAGCTTCACACTTATCTTATTTTCAATATTCGGAGCTGATGGTGTGTCAGAATGGGCAGGAATGACCCTGGCTGCTGGCTCATAAACATGTTGCTCAGGCAGGCTCCAAAAGGTAGCTGCTGCATTTGTCTTCTGTCAGTATCTAAAATAAGCAACTTACTTTCTTGGAAGGCAAAATCCATGTAGAAGAGATCGAAGTTTGTAAATTTCTTGGAGGTTGCAATTTTTTTCAGTGTATTGGAGAGTTGTTCTGCTCTCTGGATACAAGGGAAACAAAGAGGACTCCATGAAAGCCAGGCTTTGATTTCAGTAGGATAATTCAGGCAGAAGAAAGAAATCAATCCTCCCCACCCCACCACAATTTTCTAAGCCAGCATCAAGGAGCCTTGGTGGTACAATGGTTAAGGGCTCAGCTGCCATCCCAGAGGTCAGTGGTTGGAACCTATCAGTGGTTCTGTGGAAGAAAAGACCTGGCAATCTGCTCCTGTAAAGATCATAGCCTAGGAAACTCTACGAGGCAGTTCTATTTTGTCCTACAGGGTCGCTATGAATCAGAATCAACTCCACAGTACACACCACAGCAAGCTATCCACAGACAGCCACTCTAAACATCAAATTCTATTCATGGATGAATGACCAATGAATATACAAAAAATGTTAAAATTCATTAGAAACCAAAGAAGTGTAAATTAATTTAGTAATGGGCCACTTTTCACTCACGAGATTGGCAAAGAAAAGCTGAATAACCACAACAATCCAGTTTGGTGTGGGAGTAATGAATTAGAATGTTGATTGGTTTAAACACCCTGGAAGGCAATTTGGCAATATGAATCCATCCTTTAAAAGCAAATCCTTTTACAATAACAGGTCCCAGATAGAGTGGGAGAAAATGTGGAACAAAACTCAAAGTCATAAAAAAGACTAGGCTTACTGGTCTGATGAAGACTAATGGAACCCCCAAGACTACGGACCTTAGACACCCTACAAGCTAGGAACTGAAGTGAACCTCTGTGACTCAACTCTCAGCCAAACAATAGACAGGCCTGTGTGGTGAACAGTAGTATCAGGAGGGTATGCATTTATTAGAACAACGAAGCATATGAGATCAAAAGGACAGCATTTGCCCAGGGAGAGAGCTAGGAGGGGATGGGTAAGAAGAATGAAGGGAAGGGTGGCTGCAGGGAAGAAGTGGGAGGAAGCTGTTACAATGTGAGGACTGCAGTAAATGTCACAAATCAGAATATGTATGGATTGTTGAATGGAAAACCCATTAGTTCCGTAAACTTTCACCCAAATCACAATAATACAAAAAAAAAAAAAAAAAAGTACAATAAAAAAAGAAGTAAATCCTTTGACCCAGTAATTTTACCTCTAGAAATTTGTCTTAAGGAAACAGATGTGCACAAAGATACACACATAAGGAGGTTCATCACACTGCTATTTCTCATAGTGAAAAATGGGAAACAATCTAAATGTCCCACACCAAGGGATGAAATAAATCATGGCACATTCATATAGAGTATACCATTGAATGATTACAAAATTATCATGTGGAGGAACAATTCATTAATATTGGAAGGCATAAAATACTATCTGTGTACTGATGTCATGGAGGCAGAGAGCAAAAATATCTGTTTACGAATGTAATATCGGAAGGACACACACACGTATAACTTGGGGTGGTGGGATTTCAGGTGATTTTTATTATTGCTTTTTTGTCCTCCAAGTTTTTTTTTTTTTTTTAATTGAAATATATTCCTTTTATAATTGGAATGATAGGAGTCCTTGGGTGGTGCAGAAGGTTGATGTACTTAGCTACAAACTGAAATGCTGGTGGTTTAAGTCCACTAGAGTTTCCTTGGAAGAAAGGCTTGGTGTGGTTTACTTCTGAAAAACCAGCCTTTGAAACCTCTATGTAGGTTAGTCTACTCTGACGTCCATGGGGTTGATGTGAGTCAGAGTTAACTCTGTGCAGGTTTGGTTTTTGGTAATTAGAAAGACACTTGAATGAATATTTTACAAAGAGATTATTCCCCTCAGGTGTAAGAAGTACATTTTGCTTGAATAATATATTCCCTCGGAAAGGAGAGAAGATTCTAGAGCATATGGTTCACTTGCGGAAGCTCTGGTGGCATAGTGACTAAGGCACTTAACTGCTAATCAGAAGGCTAGCGGTTCAAACCCACCAGCCACTCCTCGGAAGGAAGGTTGGGCAATTTACTTCCGTAGTGATACTGCCTAAGCAACCCAAGGAGGGGTCGCTATGAGTCAGGTCCGACTCAATGGCACATAACAACAACAACATGGTTCACTTGCTTCTGGAGAACTCCAGTCATACATAGGGCTAAACCTTTCCCAGTTCTCTCCATCTCTACAAATATACCTAGGACAAACTTTAAAAGGTGTGTGTGTATATGTATACATATATGTGCATGTATGAGGGAGAAACACACAGAGACAGTAAGAGTGACAGAGAGACCTGGAGAGGGGCAGAGGAAGAGAGAGTGACCACACATGTTCTCTTGGCCCCTCACATACCTCTGCATTGTGATTTTGCTCTTCACCAGCTTGGAGACAGTAGACCTGCCAGAGTCCTATCCCCAGTGAAAACACTGCAGCAAACACAGGTCAAGAATAATCAAAAATGGTATTACAAAGCCTGTGATGGTCGTACCTCTGAAGTGAGAGCCCGGAGTGTCTTGTTGGCAGACATCCAGCCATGGCAGGGACTAACCTGAAAGCATGAAAACACCACTATGATTAAAGAGGAATGGTGATGGGTAATCGGAAGGGTAACTTTGGGAGAAATCAGGGTGTAAGCTCACCTGGAGACAGCTCAGGAAGGAGTAGAACTGTGCATAGGTCACATCTTTATTTAGCTGGCCTGGAAAACAGAAAGGTCTGGGATGTTACGTGTGCTCAGCTATAGCAACCAATTAGAGACATGTATGGGTGACCCTGCCTCCTCTGCAGAGAGTGGCACAGTCAGGACGTACCCTGATTATTCATTCTGCACTGCTCATTCCTGGGTACTCACCTTTGTGTGCTTTCCTTCATGCTGAGACCCCTAGGATTCAGACCTAGGATTGGGGAGGGGCCCTAAGGGGTTCACCCCCATCTAGAGCTCTTTGTGTGGGCCAGGGTAGAGCCAGAGGGACCTGATTGCATCTGGACTCCAGGGAACAGGAAGAGGAGTAGGGGCCAGATACATGAAGCAGAATAGGAGAGTCCCTAGGTGGTGCAAACAGTTAATGTTCTCAGCTGCTAACCAATATGTTGGAGGTTCAAGTCCACCCAGAAGCACCTCAGAAGAAAGGCTGAGCAATGTACTTCTGATAAATCAGCCACTAAAACTCTTATGAAGCACAGTTCTACTCTGACATGGATGTGGTTGCAATGAGTAGAAATGGACTTGATGGCAACTGTCTCTTTAAGTTTATTTTTCATGAACCAGAATGCCTCTGCCAGACTTGGAAAAGCAGTGGTTTCTCCTGGCATTGCCAGATTCCCATGGGGGCACTGAGAGCATTGCAGGTGTGGTTGTTGACTGAGTCTCCTTTCCAATTCTATGAAACACCCTGATCATACCTAATTATCCCACACTGAGCACCTGGTAGGACTTTCTGACTGTGCAGTGCCTTGTGGAGTGATGAACTGAAGCTGCTAATTTTGTCTTCTGAGAAGTTTTTATGTCACTACTTTTGCCTCTGAAAAATGCTCTGGTGGTCCTTGGACTGGGCGGTCAGCCCATTATCTATATCTTTATGTGCTGGATGAGGCAGCGGTAGTTCAGTGGTAGAATTCTTGCCTTCTGTGTGGGAGACTTGGGTTTGGTTCCCAACCAATGCACCTCATCTGTCAGTGGAGACTTGGGTGTCGCTAGAGCTTCTGGGCAACCAGACTAGGATGAAAGGCCTAGATATCTACTTTGAAAATCAGCCAACAAAACCCCTATGAATCACAACAATGATCTCCAATCAATCATGGGGATGGCTTAAGACTGGGCAGCGTTTCATTTCATTATCTAGTCACCATGCAATGGAGGGTGACTGCATAGCAGTTGATAACAACAACATGGCCCTGGATGGAGTGTTGACCAGTGGATATCTTCTTTGAGCCCTCATTAGCAAATATGCCCATACACTTTTTTTTTTTCAGTGCAGGTTAAAAAGGTACATAAGAATAAAGGAAGGGTCCCTAGGTAGCATAGACAGTTTGTACTCTACTGCTAACCTAAAGGTTGGTGATTTGAACCCACTCAGCACACACCCAAAAAGGCCTGGCAATCTGTTTCCATTAAGATGATAGCCAAGAAAACCCTGTAGAGCTGTTCTACTCTGTGACATGTAGGATTGCCACAAGTCAGAATTGACTCAAGGGCAACTAATGACAACAGCAATCCAAATAAAGGTGATTTGCAGCATATGTGGATTCAGCCAGCGCTTTTCCAAAGATCAACTGTAGACTTGAAAGCTGTGGGCATCATTTCTTCTCTCTTATAATTGGGCAGGCACACCAATACCTTTTGCTTCTCTGCCCCTTTCCAGCACACCCACCCCTGGAGGTAATTCCACTTGCATGCTATGACACAAAATACAGGCTCCCTGAAACTCAAGGGTGAGTGCCTGATGCTGTATCCATTAACACTTAAAACACAGTCACAAAAATAAGGAGAAATAATGGGAGCTATCTCAGGGCAAAGTAAAAGATTGAAGGTGATGGAATACACTCTTATTTTTCACTTATACCTCAGATCAGTTAGACTGAAAGATAGATTCAATTTTCTTGTCATAGAGGAAAAATATATTATCTCTCTGTGTGGGTGAGTGAATCCACAGTCGGGAACCACAGGCTTATTACCACCATTAAAGTCACAGTGACACAGCAGGGTCTCCTCTGTTCTGCAGTGGCTCCCCAAGCCACCAGCTTTTGTTCCTGCATTCATTTTATGGAGCCAACTTGGAGCACTGAGCTCCCATCTTTCCCTGGTCCCTGCTCTCACCCAGTGCTGTTCTGGCACCAGGTCCAATTGGACTGGGTTGTTAATGGGAATATCCTTAGTGTGAGTAGCCTGCTGAACAGGATAAGGGCATGTAATTAAGTGTAATTGAGATAACTGGAAAGGCTTAATGAGCTTTCTGGTAGTCCTTCTTTCTTGTATTTCTGAGCTCTGGTGGTGCAGTGCCTAAGGCATTTGACTGTTGACCAGAAGGTTGACAGTACAAACCCACCAGCTTCTCTGCAGAAGGAAGATGGAGCAATCTACTTCCATAAAGATTTACTGCCTTGGAAACCCAATGGGGGTTGCTATGTGTCAGAATTGACATGATGGCAGTGAGTTTGGAATTTGGTTGGAGAGTAGGTGATCCTGGGTCTGGTCTGTGAAAGGCCGCTTGGGAGTGCTTGGGATGGGCTTATGGTTTAAAGAAACGGAAAAGGGAAACTTTTTTTTTTCCCCCTAATTCACTTTTTCTTTGTAGGCATTACCTCTGATTTCTGCCACTTTAATAGTATTTTGTAATATTGGGGAGCTCTGGTATAAAGAGTGATCCTAGCTATGTGTCATACATGTGAGAGCATGTGACATGTATGTGTGACTCCCTGGTCAGAAGGTCAATCAAGGTAAGAGAGTTGATCAGTGATTTCCAAGTGGTGGTGCAGAAGGACTGTCCCACAGTAGTCAGAAATTAGCAGGGGCTGAGGAATTATGTAACTGAAGGGCTGTTTGCGTGCAGGGAGAGCCAGAGGCTGACATCATGGGTGTGATATGCTCCCTCTGAAGATTAAAGGACATGTTCCACCCTAGTTGCTGTAGCAGCAGCTTGTGTCTCAGTAGTTTGTATGTTCTTTAGGGCAGGCTTTTTGGTATTTATTTAATGATTGAAACATTAATTGAAATTTTAGGCACTATAAAAGCTTAGATCAGTCACACCTTCAGGAACTACCATCTGAATGTATTAAGCCTTTGTAAAACCACATTAATTCAGACTGGAAGAGAACTAGTAATAAAATATAAGTTACAACATATTTTAAGACACCTAAAATTAAGGTTTCTTTCTTTTTTTTTTTGTCAGAGGTCCTAAAAGAAAGAGCTTCTTATAGGACTATTTGAGGCTAGCAATCAGCAGTCCCTGACTTCATAACCACAGCCTGACCCTTATGCCAACTCCCAGAATGCCTGTAGCTTGTACTGTTGTTATTATTATTTGGTAGTTTTACTGTCAGGATCTATGTGGTATTTTTTTTTTTGCCCAGTGGAGTTGTGTTTTCTCTCTCATTTGAGGACAAGGACTCCATGTTAGTATCATCTTTACTCCCAAAGCACATAATAGTTACCTCAGAAATATTTATGGAATGATTGTATTATTTTTATAGACTGTGCCTGAGAGGACATGTGACTAGTCAAGGTTGACTTTTTACAAATCTATGTAAGTAGAATCCTAATGTATGAGACTTCCTGCCTGGTAGTTACTCACAAAGAAAATAAACTTTCATCAGAAATTTTGTTACTCATAGATTGCGGGGTTGCCAAATCCTTGGTAGCTAGTCAAGGACTGGTGAGTGATTCACAAGCTTGGCTAAAGTGGGAGATGCTAAGAGGGCTATACTCTCTCCTCCTCAGCAGGAGTGAACCAGGTGCCATTCTTGTTCTGGACATTCATTATCCTGACAGTTAGATGCTCTGGCATTTAACTGTTTCTTAGTTGAGTGATTAGTTGAATTTCTGCCTGCCCTACTATAGGGAGAAGAGGCAACAGACCACAAATGCCAATGACTAACACCTATTTTGCTTCACACTAACCCCTATTTTGCTTTATCACAGTGCCCCAGGAATCAGATTCATGTGTTTGACTATTGATTAAGATGACGTATACCAGTATCAGATTACTCAATAAGCAATGTAAGCACAGGCTCACTCATGCTAACTTACTAATATGTAGTGAATAATTTCACATTTTTTCATCACATCAGAGATTCTACTAGGTATGGCTGGCATCTGTTTCTCTCAAACCCACAGCACCTTCTTTACAGAATCAAAACCTCTTTTCAAATTTATAATCCCTGACTGAGATGGAAAAACAAAAACAAAAACAAAACTCACTGCCCTCAAGTCAATTCTCACTCAGCGACCCCCATTGGGTTTCTGAGGTATAAATCTTTATGGAAGTAGATTGCCCAATCTTCCTTCCACACAGTGGCTAGTGGGTTTGAACCACCAACCTTTTGGTTAGCAGTCCAATGCCTTAGGCACTATGCCACCAGAGCTCCTTATGGAGTGTACCCAATCAGTAGGATAAGCATGGGCTTACTTGTGCTTTCTTACTAATCTGTAGTAAACAATTTCATGTGGGTTTCACCACATAAAAACAATTCAGTATAGATTAGTAAGTAAGCCTGTGTTTACCTTACTGGGTAATCTGTACCTGCTACTATCCTATGGAGAAATGGTTAAGCACTGAACTATTAACCAAAAGGTTGGCAGTTCAAACCTACCCAGTAGCCCCATAGGAGAAAGACCTGGCAGAGCTGTTCCCATAAAGATTACAGCCTAGAAAACTCTATGGGGTAGTTCAGCTCTGACACATGCATTTGCTGTGAGTCAAAAATCAGCTCAGTAGCACCTAACAACAGCAACAGCAAAGACCCCCAGTTACTGTTGAGTGGATTCTGATTCATGGCAACTCCATGTGTTATAGAATAGAACCGCCCATAGGCTGTTCTTGGCTGTACTCTTTACAGAAGCAAATTTCCAGGCCTTACTTCATAGGCCCCTGGATGGGTTTGAACCACCAAGCTTTAGGCTAGAGCAAATGCCCTGGAGGGTGGACCAGCATTAACCTTGTTTTCCTGCTGGTTCATGTCTGAAACTATGCTTCTTAGGCCGAGACGCTTTGAACCAGTGGTTATCAACACTGGCTGTACAGGAGAATCACCTGAGGAGCTTAAACAAAAAATGTTGATGCCTGGGTCCACCTCAGAACAGTTATATCAGAATCTGTGGGGACAAAGCGGGCAGTGATGCTTTGATGTTTGTGTTTTAAAAAGGTCCCCTGACAAGTTTTATGTACTGTTAGAGATAGGAACCACCACAAAACGGACTCCTGCCACATGCAGACACACCTCAGAGATATGACCTTTCGATGACGTGCTCACTGGTCTTGGTGAGAGCGAAGATCCAAAGATTGGGTTTGGAGTGGGAGCAGGACAAGAGAAAACGTGTCCTCTCTCCTCTCACCTATGTGAGTTATGAGATACCAAGAAAGGAGAAACGAGGAAAATGGCCAAATTCCACCTACTCCCCTAGTCTGTCTAGGAAGGACCCTGATGTCTCACTGAGGAATTTATAATTTATTTCCCATGGCAACCAGGCAGCAGGGATAATTTAGGATATGAATAATAAATTAAAAACATTAAATAAAATTTTGATGGTTCCAACTTTCTTCCTAATTGCACCTCCCCACCCCAAACTAGGGATGTTTATAAAGAGCAAATTCATTCCACCTTTTCCCGCTTCTCGTGTGGTGAAATTAATGCATGATTAGTGGCTAGAAAGGGGCACGTGAGGAGGACGAGGTAAAGCCTAGAGGAGAGTTTCCAACCTCAGCACTGTTGAAACTGGATAATTCCGGTAGCAGAGTGCCAAAGGCATTTGACTGCTAACCAGAGGGCTGGCAGTTCAAATCCACCAGCCACTCCTCGGAAGGAATGTTGGGCAATCTACTTCTGTAGTGATACTGCCTTGGCAACCCAAGGAGGGCTTGCTATGAGTCGGGTCCAACTCGAGGGCACATAACAACAACAACAACAACAACAATTCTTAGATGTAGGAGGGGTTGCTACCAGAGCGGGGTAGGATGTTTAGCAACATCCTTGGCCTCTACCCACTAGATGTCAGTAGCATCCTAATTGTCCTAATTGTGACAAATAGACGGTTGGATGGGGTGAGTAAAATTGACCCTGGCTGAGAACCAATGACATAGAGAATCCACAGAAGTGGATGTCGAGTTCCCTAATTGCCCCTTTTCCCTCCCACACTCCATTCCAAATTGCATGTAGTCATTGTTACATAAGAAGACAAAAACCAAAACAAGTTGCCATTGAAGTGATTCCAACTCATGGCAATCCAATGTGTTTCAAAGTAGAACTACACTGCACAGTATTTCAAAGGCCATGACTGTTTGAAAGTGGAACACCAGGCTTTTCTTCTGAGGCACCTCTGGATGGACTCAAACCTCCAACTTTTCAGTTAGTAGTTGAGTGCCCCACTAAAGGACTCTCAGTATTACAGACTGTGGTTTAAGTAAGTGAATTGCATGGCGTATCTGAAATACTTTATGGAGGTAGTCTATTCAGAGTTCATAGAAAGAACTGAGATTGGAAATCAGAAAACCCAAAGTCAAGTCCCCAGTGGTGTGACTGAGTAAAGTGGGAGCACACCTTCCCTAGTCTACTCCTAAGTTCCCATCTCCAAGCAAATGCTTAGCATAGGAGGAATAAAGAAATCTGAAAAAATCTTTTGAGAGAACTGCATGTTTCATGTTCAATGGCTCAGACACCTTCTCAGCCCAAGGATTTGTCCTTTATATGCACAAGCCTGGCTAGGATGGTGTCCAGTTATCTGTGTGATTGTATTCTTATTTCTAAGAAGCAGGTCAAATTGCCATTAACAAGAGAAATAGTCTTTCCTTGTGTGATTTTGGACAGTGTTTTGCTTGGATAAAAACAGCATTTATTGTACACTTAAGTAACTCAAGAGGAAAATGACTTTAGCCTCATTGGTGGGCAGACTAGAATTTAGGTATCCACCATCTTCCGTGCAATGGAAATATCAGACTTTTGAAAGCTGGTTAAAGGGTCCCTTCTCTGGTAGCATAGTGCCTAAGGCACCTGACTGCTAACCAGAAGGCTGGCGGTTCAAATCTACCAGCCGCTCCTCAGAAGGAAGGTTGGGCAATCTACTTCTGTAGTGATACTGCCTCGGAAACCCAAGGAGGGGTCGCTGTGAGTTGGGTCTGACTCAACGGCACATAACAACAACAACAACAACTCTTCTCTCATGTGGAGAGGAGTAGAATTTACTGAGGGAGGAGGTAAGGGAGTTGGCTTAAGGAGGAACTGCAGGAGAAGGACAAGGGAGATTGAAAAGATGTAAAGAAGTTAAATATGCAAGTGACAACTCTCTGATGGAATCAACTATGAAATTTTGCTCTCCATTCCAACCCCCAAAGGATGGCACCAGGGACTGAGTTTCAGGTGTTCCTCCTTTGAATTGCTCACCTGACTCTCATAAGAAACTTATTGGACTTCCAGAACCTTATAGCTTGGGTTAGTCTAAGGAGATCTGTGTGGCATCATCAAGAAAGGGGCATCTTTTTCATGATTGACTGGCATAGATGCTGTCAATAAGGGGCTGAAGGAAGGTACCTACGTTTCTCTGGGTAGACTTTCCTCAGAGAGGACCAAGACCAGCACTTTCCAATCCTCTCATTGCTTAATTTTCTTCCTATAACACTAACCCCTTTCTGACATGCTTTTGGGGGTCTTTCTCTTACTAGAATATAAACCTTATGTGGGCAAGGATTTATGACTTTTTTGTCCACTGCTGCTTACCTCATGCCTAGAACAATGCCTGGCATAGAGCGAGCACTTAATAATGATTTCTTTTTTTTTTCAAACTCTGCCCTGAAACATAGAAAGGAGAGTCCTGCTACACCTAGCTTATATATACAATGAGCTGTGCACATCCTGAAGTCCCTAGGTGGAGCAAATATTCCAGCTGGACTTCTAACTGAACCTGACCTATCTTGATTCTCTCCCCCCCCCCATTTAAAAATGGGCTTAATTAATTAAAACATCTGTCTCACAGGGTTGCTTTAAGGAAAAGCATGGCAGCCCTCCATAATGCAGATTTCTACCACTTTTATTTATTTATTTATTTTTCCCAAAGCATCTGGAATGCTAGAGAAGCCATTACAAGTTACCGGGGGATATTTAAGACATGTCAGCGCCAAGGGACTCAAGGAGAGTGTAGAAGCAGGCAGTGAATCTTAACTGGCCACCAGGGGGCACTGCCTTTATTCCAACTGAGGTTTGAAGAAATCCCTCATACTTGGGTGTTTCTCCTATTTGGATTTCATCAACTCATTCTAGATTTCACTTTCGGTAAAGAGATAGTCCTGATTTAATTCCTTACCTTTCAATCTGTCCTACTTCTCCATTAAGTACTTTTGCTCTTTCTGGCTTTGGCCCTGACTGTGCAGATGTTTAGATACAGATCTTTAGATACTGTACCTGGGGGCTCTTCTGTTCATCAGTACCCATGAACTGGGATAGGATTTGGGGTATATTTTGACAAGGTTTGAACTATCTATATGTCAAATTCTATATACATTGAAGTCTATAGACAGTGATGTTGTTAAAGGGTAAAAGAGTATTTAAACTGATACCGAGAGGATGATATCTGTTGTGTAAATGATCCCAGAGGAAGGCTCCATCTGCTAAGCCATAGAAAATAACATGGCTGCCATTAGGCAGATGGGAATTTAGATGCTTCAGAGTCTGCATGACCTTGGAGTACAATTTCTCAGGAGTGGTCATTGCTGGGACTGGGTCAGTCTTGCTGTTGGTGAAAAGAAAAAAAAAAGAAAAACAGAAAATATCTTAGTAGCTTTTAAGAGTAGATGTACCAAATATAAGAATACAAAACACACACACACATACACACACACACACAATCTAGTGGTTACTGGGGTGCAGTATGCCAAATATTCCTGGCTTCCACTGTTTAAGTACATAGTAAAATTGTTCTTTCTGCTTTCCTTGTGGTTGGTTGGGCCATGTAACTGGTTATGCCAATGAGCAGAAGTGACATGTATCATGCCTGGTGGTGTGAGAGCCTCTAGAACATTCTTTTTCTTCACCATTGGTATGGATGATGGGTCTGTAGGTGGTGCAAATGGTTTGCATTCATCTATTAACCTAAAGTTTGGCTGTTTGAATCCACTAAAAAATACCACAGAATAAAGGCCTAGTGATCTTCTTCCATAAAGATTACAGCCAAGAAAATCCTATGAAGCAATGTTACTGTAACTGCATGAAGTCAACATATGTTGGCATCAACTTGATGGCAGCAGGTTTTGGTTCACCACTCTGAGTCCTGGAGTAGAGCCCTATTCTGATGCCTGGTGGACATGGAATGAGAAGTAAAATTTATTCTACTAAAATTTTAAAGGTTGCTTGTTCTTGCAGCATAGCATCAATTATGCTGACTGATACACATTAATTGAAGCAAAGGAGTCTTGTATTGTATGGTAGTTAAGATGTGTGTCAACTTAGCTGGGCCTGGTTTTGAGTGGCTGGGTGGCCGTCCCTAAGATGAGACTGGTAATCAACCCCATGGTGGAATCTATTGAGGCAGCTAAGTAGCTCCCTTAGGGATGTAGTATGCTTCTAATATATAAGAAGAAGCTTGAGAAAGGTCTCTGTACCTTTTTGGGCACACTTGGACCTTGCATGTAGCTGAGTCTTCATTCAGTAGCCTGCTGGTCTTGGGACTGTTTCTGAGCTTGAACTAGTGGCCTGACATGTTTTCTGGTAATCTTGGGACTATGCCATTTTACTTGTTGACCTTGGGCTTGTTAGCCTCAGCAGCCAGAAGCTGTCTGAGTTAAGAGGTTCCTCCATTTCCAGGGGGCCAGGAGCAAAAGGCAGAGCTGAAGCCCAAGGTCAAGGGGCTTTCACCCAGCCCCTAGAGCTGGCACTTTGAACTCAGAATTCTACCCTGCTAAACTGTAAGAGAATAAATTCCTGTTTATTAAGCTATTACATTTGTGGTATATTTTGTTAGAACAGAGCTAGAGAACTAAAACATATTTGATACTTTGAGATATTTTCCATGTTTTGGTTTTTTGGTTTAGGGAAACAGAATTTCACTGAGAAATGAAGTTATATTATGTGTCCACATCTATCCCTCCTTCCTGCACTGAATTTGTACTTTTGTGCCTTTCCTAATAGATGACTATGCCAGGTTATTTCCCTGCAGCACTACCTGCCAACAAACAAATGCATTTTGCATCATTGTCTTTCTGTATAAAGTAGCGATTGCACTCTCTAGAGGATATTTGAATGTTTATATTATACGTGTCTCTTCTTAACTCTAACTTTTTTGTTAGAAGTTAACAAAAACAGGAGTTCTGGTAAGATGTCAGAATAGGCAGAAAGACTGCACAGACCCTCTTCAACAAAGAAAATGGGAACCAATTAACACAGATACAGAAGATAATTCTGGACCCCTGAGCCTTGAAGGGAAGGATATAGAAATTGAATAAATTCTAACAAGCAGAAGAATTTGCATGAAAATACCAAAAAAGGAGACATATGGGGCTGTGGTCTGACAGTGATCCTGACGGCACAGACACCTTGGATATTGCCGAGTGATGGTAGGACCTAAGAATTAACCTAAAAATCAGCCCTGCTAGCCAGGGACTGCATGGAGGACTGCTCTGGTGGCTGGGGAATAAAAGGGAAAGAAGCAAAAAGGAAGGCAGGCTGAGCTGTGTACTTTTGCTTGTCCAGAGGATGCAACCATTTTGAATGTTTACAAGCAGGGTTTGACCATTTTGGATATTTAAAGCAACAGCGTTCTCCCACATTCCAGGGACTTAAGAACAGGCTCCATTTGCCAGGAACCCCAAGGACACTCTGGACCCAGACAACTGGAAAGGTGCAGCATTCCCTTTGTTATTCTTATAACCTACACCCTCTTGGTGAACAGAGGTGTGGCCATCCCTCACTCCCACCCACTTTCTGGGTTGTCAGGAATTCCAACCCAGTCTGCATGTTCGGACGGAGAGTGGGTGTCCTGCCCCAATTTTTTTTTCTCTTTTTTAGCTTGTTTGTTTTTGTCTGTTTTAAAACTACTACTATTATCATTACTTTTATCCTTTTTGCTATTATTATTTATTCTTCCCCACCCAGGTTTTAGTTTTCAGCTTTTTTCTTTTCCCTGTTCCTGGATGTAATTTTCTTTTTCTTTCTCATGGTTAACCCTGTTC